TGCTATATGGTACTACAGTCTGCCACTGTAGCTGAAAGCAGCCGTAGACAATTCATAGCTGAATAAATAAGGCTGTGTTCCAATAAAACTTTATGTATGAACACTGAAATTAGAATTTAACGTAATTTTCATGCACATGAAATGTTGTCCTTCTTTGATTTATTTCAACCGTTAAAAAATGTAAAAACCATTCATTGCTTGTGGGCTGTACAAAAGCAAGCAGTGGGCCAGAAGGCCTTAATTTGCGAATACCTGGTCTGGCAGGATACCATACTCTAACTTACAAATCACATCACTAGTTTGAAACTTTAAACATCCTGTCACAGAATAATCCCAACATCATTATATCACCTGGTGTTATTCTTGGCCAGAACATCAAGTACCTTGAGTAATGGTATCCCATTCATAATTGTATTTCTTCCCCACAAAATACAATACTGAGAACATTTAAATCAGTCTGAGTAGCTTGCTGTTGCTTAACTGAATTATTTAATAATGAGTTAAAGAAAACACTATAAGGAAAAATTATTCATCTTGTTAACCAACTTCTAAAAGATAATCCGTCATTTTGACATTCTTTACTTCTATTAGACATCTTCATAAATTGCCACGGTACCTTGCACTTCAAATGAATATTTGCTCAAGAATAGGTGCTATGCAATTGCCTTGGCAATAAAGAAACAAACAAGTGATGCAAAGAAACACACTTTGTATGTGACTTATATTTTCAAATACCCTTCACCATACACACACACACATATATATAATCTAAGTTGGCTATAGAGTAAAAACTATTTTTTCCATAGATGCCACCATAAAATTGAAGCTATGTTTCAAGATTAGCATCCTTTTGACAGGGTAGGGATGAAGAGGGTAGGTAGATAAGGGACTGATGCACACACAAGACACTGCATTTACTGAGTTACTTCTACAATATCTCCAAAATCTCTAGGTAGTTTCAACAAATGCAGCATAACCACCTTGCTGCTGCCTCCTACTCCTGCCCCTTATTAAACCAGATTAATTTCACATACCTCCCCTATCCCCCAACTGAGGCTTGTCCTGTCTTCCAAACTAATGCTCCTAGGACAGTACTTCCTCCCTTCCTCAGGTGTTCAAAAAGTAATAAAGTCTTAATACTCTAGTATGACAACTCATGAACAGGTGGGTAAAATTACAGGATAAAGACCAGCCCAAAAACTTAGTTTGCTTTCCGTTTTCTATTTCCAAAAACTAAGAGATGTGATCAATGATATAATGTTGAAGTAACACAAAATAAGAGATAGACGGCAAGAGTTGCTTTGATCCAAAGCTTACTCTAAAATACTAACCATTCAAATGCTACCGTAGACCACTCAGGTGTTTTCCCTGGTCCAAATCATCAATGAGTAACTCAACCCCCATTGCATTAGGAATCTAACTCTACTGAAGATAGGCTGGCTATATATTTGAAGATATAGAAAAAGAGAGGCTAACCATGTGTTTGATAAAGTAAAAGGGAACAGTTCTTAAGGGAAATGAAATCTGGAGCTCAGTTCCTTGGAGTCTTAACAAAATATGCCTTCCCCCAAATCAAGCTCAATATTAAAAGTTCAACGTGACTATACCTAAAAGCACCTAGTGTTCCACAATCTATTCTTTTTCCTAAAGCTTTATAGTAACTTCTCCGTTTGTGTTTGCATTATAAGAATACCTCTTTAGCAGGAGCAAATGCTATCACTTACAGGTATTTTCTAGGCACTATAATTACCCCGGCATTCTCCAACTTCACATCTACTAACAAACAGCTGTTATTGATGACTTGTTACAAGGGGAACAAACCATAGCAGGTAGACCTCTACTCACAGGGAAGAGACATACATATGTAATGAGATGTGTTGGCCTGGGTATGTTGCTTGTTCCAGCCTGCGTGGCATCACCGATGTGCACAGCACCCACTCACGACACCTCCTTCCTATCTCTGGTTGCTTATTTCCCCAGAGTAGTAGCTTTTGCCAACACAAATATTCCCACCAAATCCCAAAAGTTTAAGTGAAGAAACCTGGATACCAGTCCCGGCTTTGCTACTTACTGACAGTGTGACCTTGACAAGATATTTAAATTCCCTAGACTTTAGGTTATTTAGCCAAAAAGATGATAATGAAACTACTGTTCTCAAGGGGCTATTAGGAAGACTAAATGATATGATGGTGAAGCACTCTACCAAAAAGTGAGAGGTATTCTGGGTTGAATGAAGCAGGCTTTCCCTAACCATGAAGATTGGCACAGCCCTCAGGCCCCTGAAGGTGATCCTACCTTGCTGATGGCATGAACAGAAGCAAAAGCTGGAAATAAAATGAGGGTGGGTAGAGAGAGAAAGTTAAATTAGGTTGTAGAAGGGGGAGTAAAATCAAGTGGTGTCCACGTGTGTGTGTTGGTGGGGGACAGGGGGTGGTAAACTAGATGGTAAGATACAGTCCTAGAAGCATACCAATCCTACAGTCCAAATGCTTTAATGAGGCGGCTAACACTTAATTTACATTTTATAAAGTCTGTTTTTCCATATTTGTGGCCAAGTTTCAGTGAACGATTTTTGTTAAGTGATTCTTTTAGTCGTATTTCCCCATATAAACATTCGCTCCCACCAGATTTCATTCCGAGGACGTTCAAGAGACTTATCAGTTCAAACATTTGGGTGTCCTCTGTTCTCTGAGCACCAGACATACAAAGATGAAGGCATGGCTGACACATCTGTATCAGTCATTGCTTAAAATGAAAGCTGCCACTTAATTTCAACCAACTGTAGGAAGCAGAAGAGGAAGAGAGACCGAAAGATCGACCCAAACACTAACAGTGGTTGCCTCTGGGTGATGGAATAAAAAAAGACATTTTCTACTGTATTATACCTCTGTACAAGGGTCAATCTGTAAAACAATCAAATTTTCTCCCATGATCCATTTGGCTTAAATAGGGGAACTTTTATTTGCTAACAGATTGGTATGGAATTTACTGCAACGCAATTTTGTTTATGTGGCGGAAAATGTCTAATCACCTTCAATTTAAAACACACCTTTAACACAGGCACGGACCTCAGAAATAATCTAAGGCAGCATCTGCTTTTTAAAGATGCAAAAATTACAAGTCAGAGAGTTGATTTGTTTAAGATCACACAAATAGCAACGGCTTCAAGACGAAAACCCAGGTGTCTTGACCTGCAACTCAGAGCTCCTTCCACCACACTTGTTTGAATTGATGCTTCTCTAAAGTCCACCACCATTTGAGGAGCACCTACCGCGTGTGGGGGTGCTAGGAGAAAACAGAGATGGATAAAACCTGATCCCTGGTCTCAGGTGAGTCAGTTTTAAAATAAAAGACATATTGACAGGTGTCCTGCTTTCACTGTGGAAAACCTTAGCAGCTAAGGTGAAAGGTAGTATTTGATTCCCGCCCCCCCC